GAAAGAAAAGTAACATTTATTAGGCACCTATTTCTCTGAACCAGGTGCCAGGTGCATAGGGAAGTGTCACTCAGTCCTCCCAGCTACCTTGTGTGGTAGCACCGTTGCTGTTGTCAGGTGCTGTCGCGTTGGTCTCTATGTACAACAGAATGAAACACTGCCCGGTCCTATGCCATCCTCACGATTGTTATGTTTGAACCCACTGTTGCAGCCACTGTGTCAATCCATCTCATCAAGGGTCTTCCTCTTTTTCGCTGACCATCTATTTTACCAAGCATGATGTCCTTCTCCAGGGACTGGTCCCTCCTGATAACACGTCCCAAGTACGTGAGATGAAGTCTCCCCATCCTTGCTTCCAAGGAGCACTCTGGCTGTATTTCTTCCAAGACAGACTTGTTCGTTCTTCTGGCAGTCCATGATATATTCAATATTCTTTGCCAACACCATAATTCAAAGGCATCAATCATATGCTTCTTCAGTCTTCCCTATTCATTGTCCAGCTTTCACATGCATATGAAGCGATTGAAAATATCATGGCTTGAATCAGATGCACCTTAGTTCTCAAAATGACGTGTTTGCTTTTTAACACTTTTAAGAGGTCTTTTGCAGCAGATTTGCCCAATGCAATATGTCATTTGATTTCCTGACTGCTACTTCATGGCGTTGATTGTAGATCCAAGTAAAATGAAATCCTTGACGTCAATCTTTTCTCCATTTATCATGATGTTGCTTATTGGTCTAGTTGTGAGGATTTTTGTTTTCTTTATGTTGATGTGTAATCCTTACTGAAGGCTGTAGTCTTTGATCTTCATCAGTAAGTGCTTCAAGTCCTCTTCATTTTCAACAAGCAAGGTTGTGTCATCTGCATATCACAGGTAGTTAATGAGGCTTCCAGCAATCCTGATGCCACATTCTTCTTCATATAGTCCAGTTTCTCAGATTATTTGCTCAGCATACAAATTGAATAAGTATGGTGAAAGGATGTAACCCTGATTTACACCTTTCCTGATATTAAACCATGCAGTATCCCTGTTATGTATTGAATTGTGTCCCTCAAAAGTGTATGTCAACTTGGCTAGGCCATGATTCCCAGTATTATGTGATTGTCCACCATTTTGTCATCTGATGTGATTTTCTTATGTGTTGTAAATCCTACCTCTCTAATGTTAATGAGGTGGGATTAGCAGCAGTTAATCAGGCAGGACTCAATCTACGAGATTAGGTTGTGTCTTAAGTCAATCTCTTTTGAGATATAAAAGAGAGAAGCAAGCAGAGAGACGGGAACCTCATACTACCAAGAAACAAGAGCCAGGACAATAGCACGTCCTTTGGTCCCGGGGTCCCTGTGCTGAGAAGCTCCTCTACTGGGGAAGATTGATGACAAGGACGTTCCCCTAGAGCTGACAGAGAGAGAAAGCCTTCCCTTGGAGCTGGCACCCTGAATTCGGACTTCTAGCCTCCTAGACTGTGAGAGAATAAATTTCTCTTTGTTAAGGCCATCCACTTGTGGTACTTCTGTTATAGCGACACTAGATAACTAAGACAATCCCCTTGCTCTGTTCAAACGACTGTCTCTTGGTCTCTGTATAGGCTCCGCATGAGCACAATTAAGTGTTCTGAAATTCCCATTCTCCACAATGTTATCCATAATTTGCTATGATCTACACAGTCAAATGCTTTTGCATAGTCAATAAAACACAGGTAAACATCTTTCTGGTATTCTCTGCTTTCAGCCAAGATCCATCTGACAT